ATTACTTAGCTTGAGAAAAAATCCAACAATGCTCAGCTTGAGAAAAAAAAGCAGGCAGTGCTGCTAAAAATTTTCGAAAATTTACCAATTGGGAAATTTCACCACAATCTGACAAACCCAAAGGCAGTGATGAAAAGATAAGCCATGGGAACTTTGTAAACCAAAATCAGTCAACACATTGTTCAAAACTCATGTAACAAATGAAATTTCAAAAAAAAAAAAAATTATTCGTTCAACACAAATACCTCTTACTTGCCTGCTTTTGGTGGCCCTCAAATCCCACCGTCCACAACGAAGTTTTGAGCACGGCCTCTCCGTTTTTGCAGCGAATGATGAAGTTATGCTTCATCTTGGTGGGGTTTGAGGCTGGTTGGTTTGCATTTTATAGAGCCCACTAGAAAAAAAATGATGGACATTGATGTTACAAGTCCAGATTGTGTGAAGATTTAACTCAGTTTGACTAAGACCAAAGCCAGGGCAAGATTTGGGAAAATCTTTGAGAAAGACAAGTTGTGACTGTTCAAAGAGGACCTGTACGAGCAGATACCCCTTATTGGCTCAAGCCTGTGCGACACAGAGATGAAGAAGGTGATAGATAGTGTCGGTGCATCTATGGCGGAAGATTTCTCAAATCTTCAACAACGTATTGATGGAGGGAAGACAAGTGGGTCTCTTCGAAGGCACTTGGGCGAGTACAGATCTTGGCCTACAGGTGTGAATCGTCTTCCTTGACACAGCCGAGAGAGAGCCGTTGGATTGCCTCTGAAGGATTTTTTTTTGTATCAGAGAGATGAGGTCAGAAAGGTTCTTTTGAGATGGAGAAGTGAATGACAGAAGATGCGTATAACTTGTGTTGGGAACCATCTTTTTTTCTCTGAAATGAGTCTTCAGAGAATATTTCAGAAATTTGTTTGCCAAACGCGTTTTTGTACTTTTTTTCTCTCAAAAATTGATTTTGAAACACAAACCAAACAAGCCCATTATTTCTAAGAAACTTTTATTTTAGGGAGAGGCTTCTCTCCAATTGGGATGTTGTTGGGCCTTTGCAAACCCACCACTGAATCCGCATCGATAATTCGAACCATTCAATATCTAGGACTCATCGAATATTTCATCCCTTTAAAAAATTACATGGATCGAATATCAACGGCACCCTCCAATCCAATTTAGACTGGAGAGAAGTCTTGCCCTTCATTTTATACATTTCACAGATCTTCAATGTATAGATCAAATGTAAAAGTTAAGTACAGCAATTTGATCTTAAGCTCTAATTGCTATTAATTATTTTTAAAACTATTTTTGGTTAATTAAATAAAAAAATATATGTTTATCTCACGTTTGTGTTTTCAGGTGACGAAGCGACGTCGTACGGAGGAGCGTGGACTTGGTCAACAGGATTATACGAGGAGAGTTATTTCCTCTCCGTACAAAAATAATAATAATAGAATACATTACAAATAAAATCAGTACTTCTCGTGCTGACTCATGGGCGAAAACTAGCTTGCATAGTTGGTCTTGATTGGTTCCCCATGAGTCCGCATTTTAAAATTACTCATTTGATAATATTTTTTTCAGTCTCGTTACATTTTTTAATTTTATTTTTTTAATTTAACTTTTAATGATGTGATCTACTATCATGTAAAGTGATGTTACACTTTTTTTTCTTCTCATTTTTAATCCTCTTACTTTCACATCATTGAGGTGAAATTGAAAGTGTAAAATTAAGGAATGAATAATTTTTCTATTTTTTTAAGAAAAATACTTAAGACTCTAAACATCACCCCTAATAATGTGTATTAGTGTCAATTTTCTATTTGTCAAACATTCTATCTTGTGAGTCTAATCTCAATACCACATTATTATGTGTAGTTTAAATGTTGTAAATTAGGAGATCGAGCATCATTACTTTTTTAAAACATGCCTTCCATAATTTTTTTTTTTTTTAAAAAAAATGTACTTCTGTCTATAGTGGAGGAGAGCTTCTCTTACTTCAATTGATAAAAAATTATTGAGCATAGCGTTGACACCATCTTATCTAATGTTACTAATTAATAAAATTACAAATTCATCATGTAATTTTTTTTAATGTTTGAGTGTCTGATCTAATTTATAGGCACCTTAATTAATGTCAAAATTCATGCAAAACGTTCTTCTACGTGAATCAGGTAAATTTTGACTATTAAGAATTATTTTTAAAATAGGTTAAAAGTTGATTTTTTGATTTTTTTTTAAAACCTTTTTTAAAAAGTCATATAAAAAAATAAAAAGGTAATATAATTTTAAAAATTTAACTTCTAATCGAATTCCCAAAATAAGTCTAACTCTTATCTTTTGTTAATCCTGCCACTTGATATGACATACATTCAATATGTACTCGAGTGCATGGTTTTAAAAATTGGACTGGCCTAGTCGGTTCAATCGGTTGAACGGTTGATCAGTCGGAGTTTCAGTTTGGATATATTTTATAAATTGTTCCAAGCCAAAAAGCAATCTATTTAGAGAGAATCGGAAAAGCCAACGGTTGAACCGCCGAACTAGGTGACTCAACGACGGGTCAGTCAAACTGGCTGGGTTGATAAAATTAAAAATTAATTTTTTTTTAATATTTTCTGACTATTTTTTTTTTATTCTTTCTCTCTTGTCTTTCTTTCTTTCTTTTTATATATATATATATATATATAAGAAAATTTTAATTAGAAATTCTTTTTCAAAAGTCTACTCTTGTGAGAAATCTAATTAAGAACTTGAAATTATTGTGAAAATATTTACCTAATTATAAAAAAAGAATTATTGCAAAAAAACTTAAGAAATCTCGGTGGGATTCAATCAAATTTATCGGAAGGAAACTTGAAATTTTGATATCTTTAAAAATTTTTGCTCTTCATTCATCAAATTATTTGAGTTAAAGCCATATAAAAGGAATATTAAATATTTCCTTTCATATTTGAAAAGTAAAATTAAAAATATATATTGTTATATTTTTTAGTAAAAAAATATTATGAGAAATACTTAAGATAATTTAATATTTATATTTTTTTTTAATTTATAATTCTATTACTTATATTTTTATTTAAATATAAATTTAATATATTTATAACGTCACAATTTGATTCCGTTCCGTCCATCCAATCCATTTTTCAATTTACAGACCGATCCGATTTTTAAAAGATTGGTCCATTGAGGTCCATCTACTGCCAGATAAATCCTGCAACTTGAGTAACAAAGCAGATGGGTCAACAGTGATTATTTGAAAATTGATGTTCTTCAAATATTACTCCATAATATTTATCACTTAATAAAATCAAATTATTTTTAAGAACACAATAAAAAAATTATTAGATCCTACTATTTTAATAAATAAATATCAAATTGAATTATCATCCGACATTGGCTATTAAAAAAAGAAAAATGTTTGAGGGCCCTAATTGATCTGATTCAACAAACTGATTTAATAACAGATCTGATTTAATAACAGATTAATAACAGATCTGATTTAATAACAGATTCAACAAACTCAAATTCAACAACACACCCAGATCTGATCAACAACACACACCGTGAGCGAGGAGTGATGCCGTGAGGGAGAGATGAGCAGTGGCCGACGCCATCGCCGTGAGCATCGCAGCAGAGACAGAGAGAGAGAGAGGCCGAGAGAAGAGAGGGAGGAGTGACGCCGTGAGGGAGAGAGGAGGAGCAGCCGACGCCGACGCCGATGCCATCGCCATCGCCATCGCCATCGCCATCGCCATCGCCGACGCCGTTGCCATCGCCATCGCCATCGCCATCGCCGACGCCGACGCCGACGCCATCGCTATCGCCATCGCCATCGCCATCGCCTTGAGCATCGCAGATTTGCAGCAGAGAGAAGGAGAGAGAGGCCTAAAGAAGAGAGAGTGTGAGTGGGAGAGACGAGTGAAATGAGTCCTAAATAACCTAAACACATATATATGCGGTATATTTATTCGGGGTTATATACGGGGAGTAGTCGGGCCGGGGCCGGGGTTGGGGTTGGAAAATCTATCCCCGTCCCCGGCCCGAAAATGATCGGGGGTTTATTTTTTAATACCATCCCCGGCCCGTGGGGAATTATTTTCGGGGAAAAACCGTCTCATTCGGGGTCGGGGAATCGGGTCCCCGTCGGGCCGGTTTCAAATTGTCATCCCTATTACAGACCGATCCGATTTTTAAAAGATTGGTCCATTGAGGTCCATCTACTGCCAGATAAATCCTGCAACTTGAGTAACAAAGCAGATGGGTCAACAGTGATTATTTGAAAATTGATGTTCTTCAAATATTACTCCATAATATTTATCACTTAATAAAATCAAATTATTTTTAAGAACACAATAAAAAAATTATTAGATCCTACTATTTTAATAAATAAATATCAAATTGAATTATCATCCGACATTGGCTATTAAAAAAAGAAAAATGTTTGAGGGCCCTAATTTTTGTAGCTCAAATGGCTTAAATTTGCTAAAACGACGTCGTTTTGACAATTTTGATGTTGTTTTGTACTCAAAACGACGTCGTTTTGGCAAATTCGAGCCATTTGAGCCACAGAAATTAGGGCCCTCTATCATTGTTGTTAAAAAAAATAAAATCTCTCTTAGAGTCAGACCTCGTTTGGGAACAAATTATTTTAATAATTTTTTAGTTTTTTACGAAAAGATATACAAAAAAATAGAGAGAGTGATGTGACAATTTTTTAATTTTTTGACTAAAACTGAAGGTTACCAAACGATGCCTCAAACTTATCTTGTAATCTATTATATATCAGCAATGTTAAGTATCATGAAAAGTCTTTCATGAAAATGATTATAAAAGATTTGTAACATTTAAATTACACTTAGAACAAAACATCACATACTAATCAAGGTAATCTAAAAATTACAAATCCTTCATAATCATTTTCATAAAGAAAACTTCATGACCCTAACATTTCGCATTATATAATACGCATTATTATCATCAATGATGAGGTATGCTCATCAGTTTATGTCTATTTATACTACACAGCTATTGCTTAACCCACCACAGCGACACAAGAACGAAACAACTCTCCATATACCCTCTGTTCATGTCCATTTGAATTTCCAATAATATATATAACCAGAAATACTCACATCCTCTCTCTCTCTCTCTCTCTCTCTCTCTCTCTCTCTCTAAAAGATGGCTGACTGGAAGCCTCAGAACAATGGGTTTTCCGGCCAGACTCAGACACCCATTCCAGCTCTCGATCCACCACAGAAACCAAAACGAAACAAGTATGCCTTTACTTGTGCCATTTTAGCTTCCATGACTTCCATCTTACTTGGTTATGGTGAGTTTTATCATCCAGACACTGCTTTACACTCTCTAAAGATATGCTTCTTTCTAAGTATTGGTTGTGCATGTTCTTTTCGTTTTCTGTTTTCATTAGTAAACTGTTTTTGAGAAAATTATTTTCTGACTTGAAAACCCACCTTTGTTTGTTTTCAAAAAAATAAAAAAATAAAAAAATAAAGACAAAAACAATTTGTTATTTGTAATTTTCAGAAGGAAACAAAATTAATCATGTTTCTATACAGCTGATGTTTATAAATATATCAACAACGATACATCCCTCTAAATTAAAGGTAAATTACATTGACATCCTTTGAGATTTGGTCCAATTACTACTCACTCCCTAACGTTTTGAAAATTACATTCCCACTCCTATGATTAATAGTCTTATTTTACAAACCCCTACTTATATAAAAGGTAACAACTCCTAGTAGAAAAATAGAAAAAATTATATTAAAAAAAAATTAAAGGAAAGAGGGAAAAAAAAAAAGAAGAGAAAGTAAAGAAAAGCAAAAAAAAAGAGTGTAGGAGTTCAATAGCTTCATTTTTTCTAAATAATTACAATGACAGGGGGATTAGTGTAACTTTCCAAACGTCAGGGACTGATATGTATTAAACCAAAATCTCAAGAGGTGTAAAAGTAATTTACCATTTTTTTAATGTAAGTTTCTCTATTTTTCTACAAAGAGTTGTTGCTTTTTACATAAATAGAGAGTTTCTGAAATGAGATTATTAACCACAAGGGTGAGAATGTAATTTTCAAAACGTCAGGTGGTAAGTAGTAATTTGACCAAACCTCAAGGGGTGTCAATGTAATTTACCCTTAAATTAATAAACTCTAACGAGCTCTAATGACATGAAAAAAATAAAATAAAAATAAAAATAAAAAAATCACAAGACACAAACAATAGTATTACAGTGAGATTCACACTCCATTAGAACTATTACAACATATTTATTAGAGTTTCAAAATATTTTTTTAAATATATATATGCATATATATATATATATATATATGTTGGAAAAGTTCATTTTCCAAGAAAGCTATGAGCAAAAGCTAAAGAAAATTACGGGTGACAAATATGAGTTAGGATCCTTTCCTTGAGTTTCTACTTGATTTCTTATTTATTGGTCGTTGGATTTATTTTTAGACCTAATTTTAATGATCTAAATCGTTATATTTTGAAATTTGTTAAGTATATCATCTTTGTAAAAAATTAAGTTGGTGGGATATCAGAAAATATGTGTTCGAAAAACTGTTTATTAAACTTTAAAAAAAAAAAAATTTAGTTCGATGATCCGAACACATATTTTCTGATATCCGATCAACTTGATTTTTTTACAAATATGATACAATTAACAAATCTTCAAATGTGACTATTTAAATTATCAAAATTGAGCCTAAAAGTGAACCCAATAACCCAACAACCCAACAAATAAGAAGTTTAGTAGGACCTAGGGAGAGGATCTTGATTCGACAAATATGTGCAGATCTTGGGGTGATGAGCGGAGCAGGACCGTTCATCAAGAAGGACCTGAAGATCTCGGACGTCCAGCTGGAAATCCTGATGGGCATCTCCCTCCTCGGTTCCGCCACCGCAGGCCGAACCTCCGATTGGTTGGGGCGCCGGTACACCATCGTCCTCGCCTCCGGGATCTTCATCGTGGGAGCCATCCTCATGGGCTTCGCCACCAGCTACGCCTTCCTCATGGTCGGCCGGTTGGTCGTCGGCATCGGCGTTGGCCATGCCCTCATGATCGCCCCAGTCTACACCGCCGAGGTCTCCCCCGCCGCCTCTCGTGGCTTCCTCGTATCTTTCCCCGAAGTCTTCATCAACGCCGGTATATATCATTCCTATTTCTTTCTCATCCTATACAAACCATATATATATACATACAAAACTATGTAGTACACAGTAAATTTTAAAAAAAAAAAAATCTTTACATTTTTAGGTATATTGTTGGGATATGTATCAAACTATGCGTTCTCGAAGCTTCCACTTCACTTAGGATGGCGATTCATGCTCGGAGTCGGAGCGATTCCCTCGGTGTTCTTGGCGTTGGGGGTCCTCGCCATGCCGGAGTCGCCACGGTGGCTCGTTTTACAAGGTCGGCTGGGTGACGCCAAGCGAGTCCTGGACAAGACCTCCGACTCCAAAGAGGAGGCTCAGCTGCGGCTCGCCGACATCAAGGAAGCCGTCGGAATTCCAGAGGAGTTCAACGACGACGTCGTTCAGGTGTCGAAAAGGAGTCACGGCGAAGATGTTTGGAAGGAGCTGTTCCTCCACCCGACGCCGACCGTGAAGCACATCCTGCTCGCCGTCGTAGGAATTCACTTTTTCCAACAAACGTCTGGCATAGATGCTGTCGTGTTGTACAGCCCGAAAATATTCGAGAAGGCGGGTATAACAAACGAAAACTTCAAGCTACTCGCCACGGTGGCCGTTGGATTTGTCAAGACACTGTTCATTCTCGTGGCAACATTTTTACTTGATCGGATCGGGCGAAGACCATTACTTTTGAACAGCGTTGCGGGTATGGTCGTGTCCCTGGCGACTCTAGGGATGAGTTTGACTATCATAGATCACTCCGATAAGAAACTGATCTGGGCCGTTGCTTTGGCGATCACGTCAGTACTAGCATATGTTGCCACGTTCTCGATTGGGATGGGGCCCATCACATGGGTCTACAGCTCGGAGATTTTTCCACTGAGACTGCGGGCACAAGGGATATGCGTGGGAGTGGCAGTTAATCGTGTGATGAGTGGAACTCTATCGATGACTTTTCTCTCTCTCTACAAAGCCATCACCATAGGTGGTGCCGTCTTTCTCTTCATGGGAGTTGCTATGGTTGGTTGGGTGTTCTTTTACACATTACTTCCAGAAACACAGGGTAAAACCCTTGAAGAAATGCAAGTATTGTTTGGCACTTTCTTTAGGTGGAGGTCAATCATGAGAGAATTGGAGAAAAACAACAATGGAGTTAATAGTACCGGTGATGGTAACGATAATAAGGGTATCAGTAATGATCAGATTCAGATGGGAACAACTAAGTGCTAGATGTTAGGATTTGGTTAAAGATATGTTTGCCAAACAATGACTAGTTTTCATGTTATTTACAATATGTATTTTCACTTCAGTACTTCCAAATTATCACTTGAAAAAAGGATTGAAATGAATATCCTATGAAAAAGTAAAGAAAGAAATAAAAAAACGGAAGGAAATAAAAGTGGAAGAAAATGTCAGTGGTCATATACAGTGGAAAAGAAGAAAAATTGTAGTAGTCTAACAATGAATGAATTGGAAAATGAAGAAAGAAAAAGTTTTATTTCCAAATTTGATATTGGTGGATGTATTGAGATTTGATGCACTTTCATATGAATGTGTGGCAATAGTCAAGAGATGTTCCAAAAAGCTAATGTTGTGTTAATTAGGGATTTAGAAATGGATTTAAGAAGAATGTATATATCTATCTATTCTATTATTAAAAGAGAACAGTGATTTTAGTGTCATGAAGTCACTTCTCAAAAACTTTTTCCAATTTTTTTTTAAAATGACCTTAATTTCTTACACTTACATCAGTTTTAATTAGGGATAAAATGATAAATTGAAACAACCAATTTCACTTTCCCACTTCCCACGTCTCCAGTCCTCAGGCAGTTATAGCATCATTGCATTTTCCATTTTGTTCTGAATTCACTGAAATATTCTTAATAACTGCACTATATTTTGCAAAAAAAAAAAATTGCAACTTCATAAGACTTGAAAGCAGCCTGTGGATATATGATTGGTTGTATGTTTCTATTTGGTAAGTTCTCTTATGTATGAATCCGTATCTTCACTGCATTTGGTATCTCAATTGTATCTTTCGTTGTAGCTCTCTTCCCCTGTATGAAGGTTTAATCCATTTTCAATCTATAAATGTTAGGTAATGTTGATAATGCCAAGAACAATGGAATGTTGGTAAACCAGGACCGACATAGTTCGGAGAAGTACAACTTTCATGGTTTTGGAATCAAAAAAGTTTAATCTGAGTACTTCATTGAGGTTCTTAAACTCTATCAAGGCACCCGCTTGCTTCTCCACGAACTTTACCAGAGATTTGAGGTAACGATCTCTAGTCACAACCGCCATTTTTATGGCCAAAATTAATATTTATACCAGAAGAAAAACATGTATCCAGAACATAATTCTGAGAGTAAGAATGAGACAGAAAATTCTGGGTCCTCGCCATGCCGGAGTCGCCACGGTGGCTCGTTTTACAAGGTCGGCTGGGTGACGCCAAGCGAGTCCTGGACAAGACCTCCGACTCCAAAGAGGAGGCTCAGCTGCGGCTCGCCGACATCAAGGAAGCCGTCGGAATTCCAGAGGAGTTCAACGACGACGTCGTTCAGGTGTCGAAAAGGAGTCACGGCGAAGATGTTTGGAAGGAGCTGTTCCTCCACCCGACGCCGACCGTGAAGCACATCCTGCTCGCCGTCGTAGGAATTCACTTTTTCCAACAAACGTCTGGCATAGATGCTGTCGTGTTGTACAGCCCGAAAATATTCGAGAAGGCGGGTATAACAAACGAAAACTTCAAGCTACTCGCCACGGTGGCCGTTGGATTTGTCAAGACACTGTTCATTCTCGTGGCAACATTTTTACTTGATCGGATCGGGCGAAGACCATTACTTTTGAACAGCGTTGCGGGTATGGTCGTGTCCCTGGCGACTCTAGGGATGAGTTTGACTATCATAGATCACTCCGATAAGAAAGTGATCTGGGCCGTTGCTTTGGCGATCACGTCAGTCCTAGCATATGTTGCCACGTTCTCGATTGGGATGGGGCCCATCACGTGGGTCTACAGCTCGGAAATTTTTCCACTGAAACTGCGGGCACAAGGGACAAGCGTGGGTGTGGCAGTTAATCGTGTGATGAGTGGAACTATATCGATGACTTTTCTGTCTCTCTACAAAGCCATCACCATAGGTGGTGCCTTCTTTCTCTTCATGGGAGTTGCCATGGTTGGTTGGGTGTTCTTTTACACATTACTTCCAGAAACACAGGGTAAAACCCTTGAAGAAATGCAAGTATTGTTTGGCACTTTCTTTAGGTGGAGGTCAACCATGAGAGAACTGGAGAAAAACAACAATGGAGTTAATAGTACCGGTGATGGTAACGATAATAAGGGTATCAGTAATGGTCAGATTCAGATGGGAACAACTAAGGGCTAGATGTTAGGATTTGGTTAAAGATAGGTTTGCCAAACAATGACTAGGTTTCATGTTATTTACAATATGTATTTTCACTTCAGTACTTCCAAATTATCACTTGAAAAAAGGATTGAAATGAATATCCTATGAAAAAGTAAAGAAAGAAAAAAAAAATGAAAGGAAATAAAAGTGGAAGAAAATGTCAGTGGTCATATACAGTGGAAAAGAAGAAAAATTGTAGTAGTATAACAATGAATGAATTGGAAATGAAGAAAGAAAAAGTTTCATTTCCAATTTTGATATTGGTGGATGCATTGAGATTTGATGCACTTTTATATGAATGTGTGGCAATAGTCAAGAGATGTTCCAAATAGCTAATGTTGTGTTAATTGGGGATTTAGAAATGGATTTAAAAAGAATGCATATATATATATATATATATATGGATTTAAATTTTTTTTCAAATTTTTTACCCAAATATAAACCTAATGGGGGTGTTTGGGAAGAAGGTTTTTTAACTTTTTTGACTAAAATAGCATTAAAATAGCCAATAAGATAAAATGTCACATCAAATTCATAATTATTTCATTTTTTCTCTCACAAGCATCACATCTAACTACAAAAAAAATCAATCATTTTTCTAAACATAAAAATTTTAGCCTACTAAAATAGTCAAAAACTAAAATAGCCTACTAAAATAACTTTCCAAACACCCACAATATAAAAGATTCTTCTTCTCCAATTATTGGGGAGAGCATGTGTTGAATGTGCACGGTACCTTGGGTGTACTAGTGGTTGGACATATGCATTGATCGTGGCATGTGATTTTTTTATCAACTGTCAGTATTATAATTATACGCGTCTCTTAAATTGGCATGTGATATGTATATGAAGTATAGAAACTTGTATGAATAAATTGATCTGCATTCGAAATACAACTAAGTAGGAAATGAATACATACTCGGTTGAAAATTTTAAATGATAAATGAAAAATTTTATAAACATAAACATTAATTTATAATTAAATGGTTGATATCACAATCTTATCATAAATGATAAACATAAACTCGTCCTTTAAATATATAATATTACAAAAATATTTTTCTATCATCTTCCCACTTCAATTTTTCATAATCCGTATATGTAATACAATTAAAAGTATGAAATTAATTGCATAATTACACAATTTTGTTTAATAGTTCATCTCATAATACAATTCATTAAACTCACTATTACATATTATTTGCATACTATTGGTGTAAGAATGTATTAATATCAATATGTAATATATTTTTGTACATCAAGAGTTGTTAAGTCTCGTTTCATGCATCACAAATATCTTACATGATGAAAAATATAATATTAGCCATTAATATACAATTGATATACGGTTGTCGTAAAAAAAAATATATATAAAAGTACAATTATTGCGTGATGTAAGTGTTTTGTAAAATCTTAATTTGTTATTAAAAGTGCTTGTTATGGGCATTTATTTGTATGACATGTATGTGTATATGTATTGAATATAAGTTGATAGGAGAATAATATACAATTTCGCAATTTTTTTTTAGCAAATATAACTATATTACTAAAACAATACATGTTAGAACATTAAAGTATCCGATGGTAATATAACATTACAAATTGACAATGTATCAATACAGTAACATTTATAAATTTATATATATGTGTGTGTGTGTGTGTGTGTGTGTGTGTGCAGACATTGACACATATAAGATATCACAAAAGTAATATGTGAAATCTTTTACAACAATATAATACAGGTAACAATGAAAAGTTAATTATTCATAATTAAATAGTTCATCATAATGCAGACATTTAGTGTTATATTTTTGTGTGTATGCACCATTATTTAATTAAATTATTAAATTCACATAAAAATTGAAAATACTATGTGAATAATTTGTGTAAAATTAGAGATTAGTGATTTTTTTTTAAAAAATAAAAGTTTATAGCATTTGGTTTGGTTTGATTTGTTTTTTCAAATTTTTGTTTTGATAAACCCTTTATTTTCTTTTTTTTTAAAATTTTTAATAAACCCTTTATTTTCTTTTTAGATTCACTTAATTTAATACTTTTTTAATTTTAATTTTTAATTTTAAAAAATAATTTGTTGTGTATTCCTTTTGGAAAATAATAATAATAATAATAATAATAATAATAATAATAATAATAATAATAATAATAATAATAATATATAATAATAAAAAATAGTACATGTTAGAATTTATAAATTTTTTTTTCTAATATTTATTAGATATTAGATTTTCATGTAAAAGTATAATTTAAATATAAAATATGAAGAAATTTCAGTATCTTTAATCACAAAAACTAAGAAAACTTGAAAAAACAAAAAATGAAAAAATAGATTTAAAAATTAGGGTAAATTACAAATACACTCCTTGTGGTTTGTTTAAAATACGAATTGCCCCTTGTGGTTTGAAAAATTACAAATACCTCCCTGTCAAAATTGTGTATTTAACAGAATTAATTAAAAAAGTAAAATTTCTAATTGTTCATCTATACAATAATAAAATTATCTAAATTATTAATTGAAATAAAATTTTAACATTATTAAAAATTGTTAATTAACTTGATGATTTATTAATAAAATGACCTATTTGTTATGAAATTAGAAACCTTAGGGGGCATAATGTAATTTCTAAAACCACAGGAGGTAATTTATAATTTAAGTAAATCTCAGGGAGTGTGTTTGTAATTTATCCTAAAAAATAAAGCTAAGGAAAGTGGTTCTTATTTAAAATTTTGACATCATAACTTGATTATTAAAGTACCATGTAAAATATTACAGTTCATAAAATATAATTTAAACAAAAAGAAAGTGTGTGAAGATAACCTGCGAATTTTTGAGATGCAGCACAAATATCTATTTTAAAAATGCACGTGCTTTCCCTGTTTGGATTCGAACGAATGCTACAATTTTAAGATTGAACCAAAGTTATTCACATTGATTTGATCTATGATGGACAATTATAAATATTATGTATATCAGTATAGAAGTAGATACAGGAAATAATTAAGAAAAAGTATTTGTTTTCTGTTCTTCAATCATCATCAATGTAAAAAATATATGATGGATAACTGTAAATGTGGAGATAT